TGATCTGAAAAAAAAATGACGTGCATCAAGGTCCTATTATGTTTAATGTATGTACCAAATTTGAATGAAATCCGTCCATGCATAACTGAGATCTGGGTCCGGAATGGTGAAAATGTGCGATTTCAATGCATTTTCGGCCTTAAAGCGGCCGCCATTTGGCTATCGTTAATGGGATCATGAAACAAATGCACATACATATTTGTGACATGATGTACCTTGTGTGTGTGAAGTTTGAACTTGATCAATCCAGACATGTCTCTGATACGGATCCAGAACTGAATTCTTTAAAACAAAATGGCCGCCAGTCGGCCATTTCGAACTTGATCCGAAAAAAAAAATGACGTGCATCAAGGTCCTATTATGTTTAATGTATGTACCAAATTTGAACGAAATCCGTCCATGCATAACTGAGATCCGGGTCCGGAATGGTGAAAATGTGCCATTTTGATGCATTTTCGGCCTTAAAATGGCCGCTATTCGGCTATCGTTAATCGGATCATGAAAAAAATGCATGTGCATATGTCCCATATAATGTGTGATGTATGAGTGAAGTTTGAACATAATCGGTCCATGCATGTTCGAGATACAGGTGATCACGGACGCACGGACGCACGGACGCACACAGGGCAAAACATAAGTCCCCGTTTTCGGACTCCGTCCGAACGGGGACTAACAAGCAGCCTCTCGGCTGAGATCGCTCCACTGTTAGCAATGCACATTTCAATTAAAGAACAGAAGATATCATTACAAAATGAACAAATCTGAGGGAGGTCCACATGTAGCATCTATATATGTAATATCAAAGCAATTGGACTTGCGATTTTTAACAAGAAGTCTAATAAAAAGTTTATTTTGGGTGTGAAAATTATACAAATCAACTATGTTACGAAGTATTTATGTACAAAATAGGTTGATGTGGACGTACAAAAATATATGTTGCCTGTAACTCATTTTTGTAACTTGACGTTCTTCTAACTTCATTTTCGTAACTCGAACAATTTAGCATCTCCTACTGGGAACAGTTAAATTTTCACTAAGAATTTGTATTCTTACGGAATTTGTGAAGACATAATCTTGAGGAAGTTGCAGATACTATCGTTTTAAATATCTTACGTTTAAATGAAACCTGGAGCCAACGAAAACTTGAAAATTACGGTGTTACGCCGTAGTCATTTTGTATCAGCAATCAAAACACAACATTTTTACTGAGCTCTCATTACCATGACTACAGCTATTGGCAATAGTTACCTTCACTCCAGAGGTAGGTTGCGTCTGCGGCGTTGTCGGAGTTTGCAGCGGTGGCTGCTGCTGCGGTGTAGCAGGCTGTGGTTGCTGTGATGGGGGTGGCACTTGTTGCGATGGTTGTTGGGCTGGCTGAGTGACTTGGGCCTGCGGTAGAGGGGGCGTTAGATGCATAGTTATAGTGTTGGGATGGGTCTGACCGGGTATACTAACGTTCACTTGGTTCATATCATTGGCCTGCACCTCGATTTTGTATCCCGGCGGTAGAAACGTGTTAAAGCCAACGATGAGGTCGGGATGACCTTTGAAGAGATTCGAAACCCGATTTATCACACCGGGAGTGTCAATACTAAAATAAATAAAAAAAGAAAAGAAAAGATGCAGTAAAAACATAGTTAAACTATACATGCCTTGTCTATATATGTAAGGGCGGGCAATAGACCATTTTCCGTACACTGCGAGAATCACGCTTTATGCGTGAAATCGAACGTAAAAACAGGACAAACAAAGGTCATAGCGTCGTAGTCGCGTCAAACATCGCGTGGGATTCGACAAACGCGAAAGTATTTCGGGGACATTTCCATGCTTAATAATGTGCTGTCCACATTTGATGATAGGCAATTTCGATTAAATAAGGGTATTCGGAAGCAATATTCCTCTGTCGAAGATCGGCCGGTCGATGTGAGCTACGAAATAAAGAAATTCGAGTTCAAAATCAAATCGTTTGATTTTTGTGGTAGACTTTCGACGCACGTCTTTCATGCATCTCGCGAGATCTCGCAGTTGAATGAAAAAATCACCTATTGACATTATCGATTATGCAAATTATTCTCATTTGATCCGTTTCAAATGCTTACACTTTTTTCATTACATCAGTTCTATTTATAGTAAAAATCTGGATTCAATGCAAAGCTACTTACAACACTGTAGCTGATTGGCTAACCATCCCTAAAACCCAACAGATAAACCAATCAGTGAGCAGCTTGTTTGTTGACAGGATTTTTTTTTTTCAACATTAAATCATGTGTCATATGTATGATTTGATTCAACAGAATACTGTAGAACACTTTATTTTCGCTTGGAATTTATTTTCGCTGATACTTTTTTCCTATATTTCACATTAAACTCATCAAAAATCAGTGAAAATAAATTTCATACAAAACGCCCCAAAAGCCTTTTCAGCGAAAATCAATTCCAGCGAAAATAAAGTATTCCACAGTATTTGTGACAAATCCTGGTTTATTCATGACACGGCAGGGCGATAATCCTGCAGCATATTTTTGAGTAGCTTTTTTTTCCCCCCGTGTGTAAATGTATTATTTATTCACAGGGTTTTAATTTCGTTATTTTTGCCGATAAGTAATATCTACTAAATTAAATCTATGTAGAAAATAAAATAATAGAACTTCCCTGTCAAGGTTGTAAATTTAAAAATTTAAAAATTATTGAAATAATGATTGACCTTTTCACTACAAGCTTTTCTCGCTCAAATTTGTCTCCACTTTTTTTTTTATATTCTTCAATATTTCTGGAAATGAATCCTAATTTTGAAGCCAACAAACAAAATTTGAGTCAATTTTCAGTTTTTACTAACTTGGTCCCAATCTTTTAAAAGGTAAATGAAGACTGTAGACAGGACTATTTTGTGGTGAAGAGGGGGAACTGGTGGTAAAAAGGTTAAAACCACTGAATGTGGATGAACTCGAGGTTTTTTGGGAAGGGGGTGGGGGCAACATGTTAAGTTTGGATAGCTATATTTTTACTGTTTTTAACAAATTGTCCAGAATCGTGTTATGAAGTGTCTAACAAGTATTTTTTGTACTTTCTAGCTGCATCCTGGGCGCAGGACAAACAAGTGCCGTTATGAACGCGACTATTTTGTGAATATGTGATGAAAAGAGGAAACTGGTCAGGGTCCATAGCACCAAGAGCCAAATGATTTTCAAGACTTTTCCAGATCTTTTCCAAAACTTTCTTGCATTTTTCCTTTACATTTTGACCCTTAATTCAGGCCAACATCACCAAAACTCATCAATTTTCTGAGGATATGATAGTTCCCTGGAGAAAACAAGCCTTTTTAAAATGAATAATAACTATGAAGGAATTTAAAGACTTTTCAAATATTTTTTTATTTTTCCTGTAATTTAAAGACAACTCAAAAGACTTTCCAGACCTCAGAAAATCCAAAGACTTTCAAAGGATTTTCCCAACGCTATGGACCCTGCTGGTGACAAAAAGGTCAAATTCCAGTGAAAATAAATGGTTTTACAATACAAGAGAAATGAAGCAAAGGTACCTCTGTGATTTAAACTCCTTCATAATGTCCAGGAAATCGTTGTACACCTGGGGTTGGTTACCGAACTGTAACTTGACCTGATCCAAGTACGACAACGCGTCTTCCACTTTTAGTCTCTGAAACTGCTGCTGTTGACCTTGAACCTGGGCAGCGTGAGCCTGAGATAGTATCTAGAATAAAGTTGTCAAGTTGAAATAAAGTTGAGTCAAAGCATATACAAGATACAATATATAAATTCACTTGCCCCGGGCAAGTGTGAATTGGAGGTGTGACTATGCTAATAAGCGTTGTTGATCACTTGCATAGCCTATGACGCATCCTGTTTCAGCGGTCCAACATCACGTTACTTTGACAGTAGTTAATTATTCAAAAATAGTAGCATGTCCCTTTCCCCGGTTCGTGTTTTTGACTTTTATCCACCAAAATCTCAGCTCGTACACTATTTATTGTCATAAATACTACTACACACAGTCACTGCTGTGATATTCATAGTCACATGCATCCACTTTGGCATGACATAATCTTCAACTGTGACCTGTCTGATAGTAATTTTGTCCCCAAGGAAGCCATAGAATGCTCCATTTTAACTTAGAATTATCAAAAACTCCACACCCTGGTAGGGAGATTCCTATCTCCTCACTTGGTGGTGTCGCTGAATTGCAGTGCTCCTTCTTGCAGTTTGTTTTCATAGAAAAAATGCCTGATTCAACAAACTAAATTTCCATAAACCTGTCAACTTTTAGTTGACAATTTCCAGTTTTTACAAAAGAACTATAAATAATCATCAAAAATAGACTACATGTCTGTGGATACAAACAAGCAACTGTTTATTATCTTGCATTTCAATAGAGATTTTAAACAGGCACTTTTAATTTTCTGGATATTATTCTGCATGATTGAAAAAAACCACCGTAGCAGACAGAATAATGGCAGTGGTTAGACGGGCGTCTCAGAAAAACAAAGCACGTTATCCTGCTTATTTAAATGACAAAAACACTAACGAGGCGTGTTGAAACTTGCAGAGATTGAACTATAGAGGGAGCCCTAAAGTTTTCCCCCTAATTATAGCGGAAAACAACCTCTATGGCAGACAGAATAATGGCAGTGGTTAGACGGGCGTCTCAGAAAAACAAAGCACGTTATCCTGCTTATTTAAATGACAAAAACACTGACGAGACGTGTTGAAACTTACAGAGATTGAACAATAGAGGGAGCCCTACCATTCTCTCCCTACTTATAGTGGAAAACAACCTATATGGCAGACAGAATAATGGCAGTGGTTAGATGTGCATTGCGGAAAAACAAAGCACGTCATATCGTGCTTATTTTTACGACTTTAAAAACACTGACAAGGTTTGATGAAACTCGCAGGAATTGAACTATAGAGGGAGCCCTACCATTTTTTTCAAAGCCCCTACTTATCTAAGAGAAGTCTACCTACCTGTGCATGAGCATGAGCTTGATGAACCGACTGTTGTTGATGAGCTTGTGCTTGAGCCTGCGCTTGTGCCTGGGCCTGTGCCTGAGCCTGCGTTTGGGCAGCATGGTGCGGATGAGGAAGATGTACATTACTGTGGGGAGGGCCACCTCCTTGATTCACTGGTGCAACCCTGTAAAAAAAAAAAACATAGAATGATTGAGATCACGATGCACTTTGTGCTCCACAATACAAAATAGCTGGTGGATGATCTCATTAGCATAAATTTGCATATCAGCTCTTAATATCGCATGTACTGTAAAATACTTTATTTTAGCTGGAATTGATTTTCGCTGAAAAGAATTTTTGGGTGTTTTGTATGAAATTTATTTTCACTGATTTCTGATGAGTTGAATGTAAAATACAGGGAAAAAGACATATTCGCTGGATTTTATTTTCACTTTATTTTGTCCTTCAACAGAGAAAATTAATTCCAAGCGAAAATAAAGTATTTTACAATATTCTACTGTAAATAAAATGTTCACTATAAAATAATCCAGTATACAATACGTGGAATTCCAAGTTCATGTGTACTTCTATTGCAGGAATTGAAATAGAATTTTTTTTCCCAGCATGCATAGTGTGCATGTTGAATTTGAAATTTACCTGCACTAACTTGTTGTGAAATGCACCACTTTTAAAGTTTAAATAAAATTTACAGGTTATCGATTCATGCGATCATGAAAGAATTTTCTTTTTTTCCCAGTTGTCTTACAATGTTGGTTGAACTTAATTTAGGCTTAGTGAATATGATGAAAAAATGTTGTGTTAATTTCTAAATGCACAGTGTGCACATTATATTTTGAGTTTACTTGGACTAGCTAATAATTTATGTGCATAGTGCAGTGTGAGTATTTTGACCCCCTGTATTGAAGAAGAGTATTGTTACTTACTGATATCCAGGTACTGCCGGGAACTGTAAACTGGTTGACATGCTCTCTGCAACTCCTTCGTAAACTGTCGGCGGTGCCGGAGCTAATACACGGTGGCTGTACGTTTCTGGTCCTTGTACACGGCGAGGCTGAAAGACGTTTTCTTGGTTCTCTAACGCACGTTTCATGGTGCTCATGATAATATGATCAGGTGACCACAGTCAACCTATCAGATATCAGACACCTACAACCAAAAATAAAACGAATAATTACACATCTGGCCGCGAAAACAAAAGAATTTACAGGGGTTTCGTTAAGAGCTGGTCACCGGCCATATGGCCACCTACAAACCCAAATTGGCCATCTACATATGTTGGTATCGCTGCAGCACTTCGCACTGCCGAGAGACTTTTTTTTTCTTTGACCTGTTGTTACAGGATAATGGCCTGCTATTTAATACATTTTTGAAACCCCTGGTATCTTTTCCAACGCCGCATTCATTCAAATTTGTTTTCTTCTTTTAGTAAACTACTGTAAAACATGTCTTTTTCGGGAATTTAGCTTGAGAACTAATTCGCTAATTTAAGATGTCGCTAATGACTTCATTATAAAATAATATAAATTCAAAATGGCGCCCAAACAATGTCTTTCTCCACACGCACACTTTGTAAACAACACAGAAAACGTAATAATCAGGAGCACTTCCTAATTACACTTGACAGTTTTTCTTTGTTTTTATGGAGGCGATAACTGCGCATTTGTTTTGGCAGGCGACAGACAAGTACTGTGAAAACAGGAAATCAACAAAGACAAGAGATATTCGCTAAATCAACATTTCGCAATTACGTCATTTCACCACAATTCGCTAAAATAGTATGTCGCTTTTTCAACATGTTTTACAGTACATCACCAATGTGTTCAAGAATATTGGCACCACAATCGAAAACGTCAATTTCATTTAACATAGAAACGCTATCAGGGCATGTTGAAACAAATACCACCACTCAATACAAAAGTTTGTTGCCATTTAGGGCTGTTAATCAAATCGTTACTACGAGCAGAGAAAACGTGCATATTAGCTGGAACTAATTATCGCTAAAAAGTTATTTTGAGTGTTTTGAATATTGAATGTATACAATAGGAAAAAAGGTATATTCATTGGGTTTTATTTTCACTGAACCATTCTATCAGCAAAAATAAATTCAAAGTATGTAAACAAGATGATTTCATTCAATGATTAACCCATTGCAGATATAAGATTGATGTCATCTCTGGGAACGAGAACAGCTTCACATTTGGGTTGGGGGCACTAATCTATCACAGTATTAGCGGCCACTATAGTCCAATGCTGCTAATGATATAGTTAGTATTTGTGAATTTTGCTGTGCTTCCGAGAGCGATTTTTACTGCTATGAAATTTTATTTTATGCTCTATTTTCGCTTATTTTTGCTGAAGGAATATGAACTTCTGAGGAGAACCAAATTCATAGCAAAATATGCTAAAAATGGCTTGTATTGATTAAAATTGCAAATATACGTAATCTTCTGAATTACATGTCAAGTTAATAAGATTGCACCTGATTGGCTACCAAACCTAATAGCTGACAGGCAGACCAATCAGAGAATAGCTTTGTTTTAAAGTATCAAATTCTACCAAGTATAAATTTTTTAACCTTTTCACCACCAGTTTCTCTTTTCATCAAAAAGTCCTGTTTATATCTGCACTTTCCTTCAGAATATCGGGACAACTATAGCCACATTTTTTGAGTAAAAACTAAAATGTGACTCAAATTTTGACTGCTGGCTCCAAAATTAGGGTTCACTTCCAGAAATATTGAAGATACGAGAAAAAAGTGCAGACAAATTTGGGTGAGAAAGTTTGGTGGTGGAACACTACCATTAGCACATCACATGGTGACCCACACACCTAACCTACTCTACCCAGAAAATAGTGGTGCGTTCCAACATACTGCAAAAGTAGGTCAACTGTACACTGTGAAATGGCAAGAGACTTGCCTCTATTATGCCTCTATTATGGCCTCATACCACCAATTAACCTACTGTGAAATACTTTATTTTCGCTGGAATTCATTTTCGCTGAAAAAGGCTTTTTGGGCGTTTTGTGTGGAACTTATTTTCACTGATTTTTGATGAGTTTAACGTGAAATATAGGAAAAAAAAGTATATTCATTGGATTTTATTTTTATGGAATCATCCCTTCAGCGAAAATAGCGAAAATAAATTCCAAGCGAAAATAAAGTATTCTACAGTATCAGAGTTTGTAGATCTCAAACCATGGTTGTCAGCCAATGAGTTTTTATTTCACCACGTTTTGTCTGAAACATGGTGTGCGAGGGCGTACTTGATTTACATGCGAAGTTGTCTGTTTTCATATTGTAACATCGTTGTAACTAAACAAACAAGCAGCCTGTCGACTGAGATAGCTCCGCTGTTAGCAATGCACATTTCAATTAAAGAACAGAAGATATCATTAGAAAATGAACAATATGTAGACTTGCTGTTTTCAACAAGAATTCAAAAATGTCACTTTCACCAAAAATGACAAAAATAATCATCAAAATTAGAGAATTAAAGATATCATTACAAAATGAACAAATCCGAGAGAGAATCACATGTAGTACCTACATATGTAATATCAAAACAATTGGACTTGCGGTTTTTAACAAGAAGTCGAAAATATCACTTTTTACCAAAAATGACAACAATATTCACCAAAATTAGAGAATTGAAGATATGATCATGAAATGAACAAATCTGAGAGAGGTCTACACAGGGTACATATACACACCAAGTATCAAAGCATTCAGGCTTACAGTTTTCAAGAAGAAGTCACCGCCGAACAATCACTCATATGATAAGCTCCGCTCGACAAAGTCGACAGCGGAGCTAAAATAGTTGTAACTATCTGTACAAATCGTATTGTAGTTGCTTCAACTGTCTGAGGGAAGTTGATGAGAGTATTGAAACATTGATACGGGAAGTTGCAAATCAGCTGAAGAATCAGGTTTGCGCTCGTGGTAATACAATAATTTTATGCCGATTTCATTTTTTTTCTATTTATTTTGGCATTCTGTGAAGACATCTAGCAGGCAATGTCGTGAAGACCATGTTCGGAAATGACATGAAAAAAATTACACATACTTGCATTGAAAGATTACAATGTCCTAACTGGGAGTTAAATTCATGAGGAAGGGGGGGGGGGGGCACTGATACTACTGCAGTACATAAGGAATCAAGGTGAATATAACATATCACACATTGTTCATATATAACAATGTAATTATCACCAATACATCTTAACATTTTAAAACAAATTTGTAGAACAAGTCTCAATTTACTAACGACAAAAAGCGCAAAGAGAACATACATCTGACATTGCAGTTACAATCTTTCAGTATGGCCAGACTTTTCTAATTTATTTTAGTTTCTGCAGCGTTACTTCTGCTTAGTTGTAATTAGAAAACAAGAATAAAAGGAGGAACACTTGATGAACATTGATTTTATTGTTTTTCAAAAACAAAATTTCCAGATAACCACTGCAATTCTATCTCATGAAATACAATAGTGGATGAAAAACTGCCCGAACTTCCCCAACCTTCAAATTAAGGCACACTGGAATTTTCGTTTATTGTTTCAAACTATTTCCACATACATATCACAATTGTACTGAATCATCTTTTTTAGTAAATTTTGATATAAAAAAAATTCAATCTACAACGTTTACATCTGACAGAGTGAGAGAGACGAAGCATAGAGTTAAATACAGACTATAGATTACATGGGTTTACCTCTTCAATGAGATAAAATACAATCACTAAAGGTTGCCATGGAAACCATGAGTAACTTGACATTATCTTCTCACATTTGCTAAAGTACAATTTGAAGTCAGCTGAAAGTAATTGTGAAATGAGCTATTGATAGACGTTTTTTTTTTTTTTAAATATAAAAAATAATTATCAAATCTCTGAAGGGTTTTTTTTATAGGGTGTGCCATCACCCAGCAATACCCCCTTTTAGCATTATCAAACAAGATGTTTATTTGCTTTTTTTTGTTCAAGGGCTTTCACTGTAAACAATTTGTTTTCTTGAACCACTCTCCACGAGGTAAAAAAACTTAATCAAACTCGCCAAGACACTGTTGGCCAAATTTATTTTTGTTTAGAAACTCAATAATAAATTCATCCATTCGTGAATACTGTATTTTTGCTGGAATAAATTTTCGCTGAAAAGGCTTTTTGGGCGTTTTGCTTGGAATTTATTTTCACTGATTTTTCATGAGTTGAATGTGAAACATAGGAAAAAATGTATATTCGCTGGACTTTATTTTCACGGAATCATCCCTTCAGCGAAAATAGCGAAAATAAATTCTAAGCGAAAATAAAGTATTCCACAGTATTTAAACATCTCAACAGTTTACCTGTCATTATTTTATTTCTAATTTTTTACTGGAAATTTTTTATTACAAATTTAGTAAGTCACCTGGTATTTTCTGACCTACCAGATATGCTCGCATAATGGTAGAACATAGTACAAATGTGAAGATAAAATACAATTTACTTAGCTGTATTTTGTAACCCAAAAAAGTTTATAGCCTGAGAAAACTCGGGGAAATTACTGTAGAACACGTTGAAATAGCTGCATGCAATTTTAGCAGATTTGACTCTTGGCATGAATTAACAAAATTCGAATTTAGCTAAAGTGCCGACTATGTCCCTGTGAGAATATATTTCTGTTAAATTAGCTACATCTTGAATTATTTGTGCCTTAAGCCACCTGTACAGTCACACAATTTTTGTTCGTAAAGATGTTACCCCTCAATAGTTAACAAGCTGACATAACTTGATTTTGGGAGATTCCATTTCGACTCGGGAGCACACTGGTTCAGGGTATCGCACAATTGATTTGATAGGCAACTTTTCATTAGAAGCGCAAAGTTAAGTTGCCATGACAACACACACTTGAATCCTATTCAAGTTGTAAATCTTTTCAAATTTTAATTACTGATGAAAGTCTGCATTACAAAGAAACTGACACATAGTCATTGCAAAAATCTGCGATTCAGAATGGCTTCCGTCATTCTGGCAAAGTAATTTAAAATTGTCATCTTGAGGAAAGTCGAGAACAAAAGCTGTTAATCTTTCATACTGTATTTGTTCTATTTGTAGAATACCGTATGCGCTTACGTACATTAAGCATGTTTCAGTGGGTAATTTTAATAATTCAGTACACAAC